AGGTATGATTTCGATTTATATTAAAAAGAACAAATTCCAAGAGAATATTTCTGATAATAAGTAGAAAATTTTCTTATATTAATCTATCGCAGTTCATGCTTTCAGAAAATCAAGTATAGGAAATTCTTAAATTAAGGAAGGCATGTACTCAAATGTAGTGAACAAATTTAAGAAAAAACATTTCTTTAATCAAGCTAAAATCTTTCTAAGATCGGTCATTCTCTTCTCTCATTATTTTTAACAGTATAGTGCAAAATTCTTAAAACAAATTTATAGCGTCATTCGTATTTGTTTGTACATACAAGTTTGTGCGCACTATATACGACATGCATTTTTTACGACATAACGGATTCTTGAAAGCAACGCATTCCTGGAATAAGCCCAAATAACTGTTGTCAAACAATACACACATAAATTTATGTGTGCTTTTTGTAAAGCGTGTGTGGAAAAACATCGATAGTCGATATTTAATTTTTGTTTTATTTTGTTCGTAGCCCCAACATAAACAAAAACTAAAAGTTGTTGCTTAAATAATATTCCTGTTGGAAAACTACGCCTGGGAGGATATTTAGATTAGAGTTAAAACATGACCAAATCTGAGCGGTATGGCCAACTGCTGAAAAAAGCGTCTATCGACAATCGATATTATTCTGAGTGCTTAGGCCAGCTCTAGGAAGAAGCTCCTCGTTTTTAAGTTTGAAGTTATGTGTGAAAATGAGTGCAAAAGAAGAAAAGCTGGAGGAATTTCTTAAGGAAAACGAATGTGAAGACATTCGTGAATACCTTAAAGGTAAGTAATACAAGCCAATCGTAATAAAAAGTTTATTTAATAAAAGTGCGCATCGGAGTACTATTTATTTCTATACTTAAAAGAACGTGTGTGCGCGACCAGCTTAATGAATCTAACCTAATGCACCTGCAATCCAAAAAAATAAATAATGCGTTGAAATCGGTTGCTTAAAAAAAACGCTTAGAGAATAGTAAGAAAACCAACTTAAAAGTGATCGTACATACAAAACGTAAAAAAAAGAGCGGTACGTAGCTTGTATAGAAAAGTTTCAACTCTTATACGTATACATGTACACTGATAAAAAAATGAAATATTTTATTTTAATATGTTTCTCAGATATTGACATATTTCATATTAAATCATAATATTAAATACAATACATATTAAATAGCATGACTTCATTCATATTTAAACTAATATTCACATATTTAGATTCAATATTTCGTTTTTTACCAGTGTACCATATATGAGAAAGCAAATACGTTTTTAATAAATACAATTTTTAAATTATAATTAATTTATATAATTATAAGCAATTTCAAAATTATTTTAAAATTTTTAGATGCTCAAATAAGATATAGTCATTTACAATATATCATAACGGAAGAAAATTTAAGGGCAGCTGTGCCTCCGTTGGGACCCCGCCTGAGGTTTCGGGAGAAGCTGTTATCATGGGGGAAGGCAGAGGTAAGTTATTTCTTCAGCTAAAACTTTAATAAAATAATTTCATTTCATTTCATGGTCCATTATGTCTCTGCAATTAAGAAGTGCGGTCCACTCAAGTATTTATGGAGTATGCGTTTTGTATATTTATTCGTATATTTATTACCTTTCGAATTCATGTATGTATATATTGTAAACTATTCAAAGTCGTATTTAGGGCTAAAATATGTTTAAGATCTAAAACATATCACTAATACAATACAAATTGTAATCCCTTTTTCCAATAAGTTATAAGAAAACAATAATAAATAAATTTTAAATTTTATATGCTCTATTAAGCAAAATTGTTTCTTATTATAAGAACCAATAGTGCTCATGCTAAGAGTTTTATTTAATTAAATTGGGATAGTATTTTTCTTGATTTGAGATTAAAATATCTTTTTTAAAGAGTTTAAAATATGAATTTATTGTTCTTTATTTAAGCCGCATGCATTCTTAACCCAAATAATGATCTTTCTTGATTAAAGAATTTTTAATACTTGATTCGAGTATTATTCGTACTTCAATTAAGTGCACGTTAGTTTCATATTTGTATTTGTATTTTTTGTATTTATTATAAAATTTCATCCTAACGCTACAAGTTTGGAACTTAAGCTAATGCGCTAGTCACTAAGAGTCGCAAATATTCAATTGTTACATTATACTTAAAACTAATTTTCATAAAAACTAACTTAAGTCGCCTTCTATTTTTACTTTAATTTACGTAATAGTATTTTTTGTTACAAAATGTATATTAATTGTTTGGACATGTGGTCTGCCTTTAAGCAATTGATTTCTTTCGCTGGACCTAGGCCATATATTGCATTTGTAAATGCTATGTCCTTTTTGACAAAACAGGCACGCCAATGAACTCGCTGTCGCTGAAGCACTTGTTTTGTGTTTTTCCTTATGCATTTTGCCGCCAAACGCAAGGAACTCTTTTATTGATTGAATTTCCCTGGTATCTAAAATTGTTTGCTCATACAGTGTGTGCGTGAGTCGATCTAGTGTTCTTGTCATTTGAAACAGAAGGACTGGATGCCAGGTCTCTGTTCTGATTCCAATATTATTTAAGGCTTGCAATGATTCATTGATGTTGTCATGCTAATTTTTTATCGATTGAGAATCATTTGTCACTTAGGGTGATCAAATAATTTTTCAAATATCGCAGTAGAAAGGACTCGCTTATTATTGAAACGTTCTTTAAGCATGGTTCAGGCGGTGTCATAATTAACTTCTGTTAATTCTAAATGCCTAACTAACCTTTCTGCTTCTCCAAAGAGATTTCAATTTATTTCCATAAATTATCAATTACTGATTTATAGGTAAATTTGTTTTCTGGAGCTATATGTTTCATAGTTCTTGACATAGATTCTAGAACCGCCGCTTGGTGCCTTATTAATTTTTGTATTTGTTCCATCACTTCTAACGATGTTTCATTTTCTATCGATTAAAGGATTTTAGTATTGAATTCTTCGATAGCTTGATACACAATCGTTTTCATTTGATTGTAGTATTGCTTTTCAAAAAATTCATGCGACATTGGAGTATCATTTAACATTTCCAGGATAATATTATTTCATAAGTCGAATTTTTTCCAATACTCCTCAATTTGGCGTTTTCTGTCTTCGAAATAAGACGCCTTTTCCTTTCCTTTGCTGGAATCCTTTTTGATGTTTCTCATAAAATTTGGATTTCTTCGCCAATTTGGCTTTGAATGGCAATCAAATTTTCAACCTCCATTTTGCCTTATAAAATTCCTGACCCGTTGGAAGATAATTTATTTGCTTAATATAAGCTGGATACACTTCTACTCGCAACCGATTTTATGGTCAAAGACAAGTAAGGTTTTAAGGATTAGAAAACTTCCAATACTGTAGTAAAAGATCGCCAAGTTGATCATTTACTCCTTGAAAAAAAATTTCAAGTTGTTCGGGAATATGCTCGGAAAATTATTCGATGCAAATTACCCTTCGTTATGAATTCTGCTCAATAACAACTTTAGATCTAGATGATTCGATCGCCAAGTTGATCGGGAATCTGTCTAGAAAACTATATGTGCAGAAATTCGTCGCCAAGTTGACTATAATTTCTTGCAACGGTCGGGGTCACCAAAATGTTTGTAGTTTTATTAAGTTTTTATTATTTGTATTTATATAGGTGCTAAACCAACACATGAATTGGTTTAACTCGAAAAAAAATCATGCATATGAGGGCTAAAGACAGTGATGCTCACTCGTAGAATGCAGAGTAATTGAATACACAAGAATTACTTGAGTACTGATTTCTGAGGACAAATCGGGTTTATATACACGATTTCAGAGTCAAGGGGGCCACCATTGCAAAGAAGTGGAATGGGGTTGTTAGTTAAAATTACATTGCATTGCTTAGGTTCTAAGATATACAGAGTCAACATATTTGTCTCCCACATAGGGAATTTATAGGCTAGAGTTAGTAAAAATAGAATCCGGGTGTTGAAGGTAACAAATTCAGAGATAGTATTACAGTCGGCCATTAAAACAAAGCTTCTAACAGCATTTGAGTTGAAACGATGGCTTATAAAATATTCAAAATATATTCAAAATTACAAAGAGCTTTAAAAAATCGTCTTCTCTTCTCGAGGCTCGTGCTGCAACTGCTTGTCGATAGTTGCCTCTCTTCGTGGATGCACATCGATTGATGTCAAAATGTATCGTTTATTCCATCGATAGTTTTTTAGGACAAATGAACAAGTATTAAAATTATAATAAAATTTCAAATTGCTGTTTGTATGGGTCGACTCAAATGGTACGCTAATAAATACCATTCACATATGTATGTTACATCCAAATATAAAAAGAATTGAATTTTGCCTTAAAAGAATTGGACAAATTTATTTAATTTTTTTTACAACTGCAAAATCAGTAAAAAATGTTCAGCTGGATGGAACTTTGTAATTATATAGATAGAATTAAACTGTTATAAAATAAAACAGATAAATATAATATGAGCTCTTTTTTTTTAAGAAATAAATCAGTAATAATATAATATATCGTATGAACAACATTAAAAATGTAAAATTTGAACTCGAAGCTATCACTATTAAAGGAACCCGGTTCGCAACCCGGAACTGGAACGTATATTAAGGTTTGAGACCTGTTCGAACCAGACCAAAGACAGAACCGATGGACTTAAGCCGTTTCAATATAACTTAAGTACATTTACAATTTGTCAGTAACTCAAAACTTCAATAAATTCCCCCAGTAATTATTGAAATGGGAATCCTCAGGGCATTCGCTCACCTAAAATAATACCAGATACTGTAGAGTTGCCTTTTCACTTGTATTACAATGGTTTTCAACTGCCAAACTTACTGAAAGTTGGGCTTGTATCCAGCAATTCATTGCCACAGACTGCTAATCTCCCTACTGGTAATATATTGGCAAACCAGAAGCACACAAACAATCAGGGCATTTCCAATCGAGTAGCCTTTCCCTTTGCTCACCTGCCATTTTCCAGCATGACAGTTGTCAGCATACTTTTTTCCCATTCATTTGACAGCAGGCCCCGACTTGTGAGAGCCGTAAAATCCGGAAAACCAAAATTAAGAAAAAATCTAAGATCGCGATGCCCAAGGAAAAGTCGACCAAGGGTAAGGGTGAGAGCGAACCGCCCGTTAAGTGGCAGCGCAAGCGACGCAAGGAGTCCTACTCTGGCGGAGGACGACGAGGAGGAGGACGAGAAGGAGGAGGTGCCCCCGGGATAAGGAACAGATCGCCCACGCCCCCGAATGCCTCTGAGATTACCGAAGGGAACGGCAGCGAGACCAGCGGCTCTTACTTGAGCTACAGCTCATCGGGAACCTCCGGATCCTCCTGCTACACCAGCTCCAGCGGCTCCTCCAGCTCCGTCTCGAACAGCGAAGACTCTCAGGAGGAGCCGGAGGGAGCAGCCACCGCTAAGAGGGCGAAGCTCTCGTGCTGCCACCACCGGCACCACCGACACCACCGACTCCACCGGCGGCGCCATCATCACCACTCGCCGCCGCGCCATCACTCCCATCGCCCCGACCATGGACGCTCCTCGAAGCGTCTGTCCGGACGGGTCAGTCGCCGAGGGGCCGCCCCCGCCACCAAGACGGTAGTGGTGGTCAATGAGGAAATGCCCACCACCTCCGGCAGCCACCCGGTGGCCAACCAGATACCGACCCTCATTCTGGCCGAGCTCACCACTCAGCCGCAGCCCGTGCCGGCTCCAGTTCCGGCTCCAGTTCCGGCTCCAGCTCCAGTTCCTGTTTCCGCTGCTCCGTTGGCCAGGAAGCTACGCTTGGAGCAGCAGCACCACCAGCGCAAGTCACGCATGCGCTGCTCCAGCTCCCAGGCCCAAGCCCAAGCCCAAGCCGAAATCCCGGCCAAGACCATCACCATCACCATCACCAATAGCCTTTCCAACGCCGGCTCCATCTGTGCGGCGGACACTGTGGGTGCCCCGCCCAAGGCCAAGATCATGGCCGGAGGAGCCAGATCCAGCGGCATGAAGGTGGTGTCCATTTCCAGTGCCAGTCCCATGGTCAGCAAGTCGTCCAGCCAGGTCAGGAACCCAGTCCCCAGTGGCTCCACTGCGAAGGCTCCGGTTAAGACCAGTCAACCCAATTCGAGTGCCAGACATGCGGACTCCAATGGCAAGTCACCGATGAGAAAGGACACCTCCAACTCCTCCAACTCCAAGATGAGGGCATCCAACGGTGAGCGACCGCGTCGCTGTTCTTCCACGCCCCCTGGTCCGGGCTCAAGGCGTCAGGGGGAGAGTGGGCGGAACAAGGACCACACTGGTAAGAAAATTTGTTTACTCAATTTAAATATTTTTGGAATTGATTTTAGAACTGATTTTAATATCTGATAATTGAATTAAAATTTAGACCATATTCAACTTAAATAATATGCATCTTAAAAAAATAGGAACCATTTCAAATCTATTATTTTGTTCACTTATTTAAGCACTTTAATATTAATTCATGCAATTTAATATGCCTTGAACTAAATATAGTGATTAACTATTTCATTTAAATGTTTAATGCGACATTTTTCAATAGCCACATATATATTTTTACTAATTTCAACTTTAATGCATTTAAAATAAAAAGGAAACATTTTAAAGGTTATATTTATTACATTAATTCAAATAGTTCAGTATTTAATCATGCAATTTAATATGCCTTGAACAAAATATTATGTAAAAATATCTAACTATAATATTTAATGTACAATTTTGAATTCAAAAGCTACATATTTATTTTTACTTTTCCATTTTTTGTATCAGTTTACCCTAATAAAAGCAAAGAGCTTAGTAAGTCCATACTCAATTTAAATACTTTTCGTTTTGATTTTCATCCACTGCGCTCTTATTTTCAGAATATTTAAGCGGAAACCGTATGAAACTAAAAAAAAAGGAATCAAAATCAAATAGGTCCCATTTTAAATTTAAATTAAATATGATTTTTAAAGTTTTTTACATTAAATTGATAGTTCGAATATTAAACCTACTTTAAGTGCATTGTATTTGATATTATGATTTTATGAAATATGCAATTTTGGATTAAATAGCTAGATGATTATTTATACCACACCATATTTTTTATCAGAGAAGCAGTGCAAGCAGATGCGTAATGATGTTTATGAAGAAGAAGGAGGATCCGGAGGAGGTAGATCAGGAGGAGGATCAGGAGGAGGATCAGGAGGAGGATCCGGATGGGGTGGAGGAGGAGGAGTAGGATCCGGAGGAGGAGGAAGATCCGGAGGAGGTGGATCAGGAAGGGGAGGAGGAGGAGGAGAAAGAGGAGTTCCAAGAGGAGGTGGACCCTATGACCATCCTAACGCCGTGGGCAACCAAACGGACTATCGCAATGGCAAGCACGCCAACAAAAAATTGCGCCAACCCGTCCGCAGTGTGCGCCTCCACATCAGGGGACTGACCCGCCAGGTGAGGAAGGAGCACCTCACCGAGATCTTCGGCCATTTCGGAGCCCTCAAGGCCGTCGACTTTCCCATGGACCGCTTGCCGGGACGCTTGGGGCGTGACTACGCCTTCGTGGAGTACGCCCGTCCCGAGGACTGCGCCTACGCCATCAAGCTCATGAATGGCGGCCACATCGACGGCAAGCGGGTCACGGTGTCCGCCTTCCAGGAGAGCATGCCGAAGGCTCCGTGGCGCCACAACCGCCGCCCCTCGCCGGTCAACTATCGCCGCCAGCGCCAGCGTCACTGCTCGCCGTCCCGCTCTCGCTCCCGCTCCATGTCCCGCTCGCAAGCCCGCTCCCCCTTTTCCCGCGGCCGCTCGTCGCCGCGCTACGGGAAGTACCACCGCCCCGGATGGCGTTCGCCTTAGGCAGGTCGCACTGTCGTCGCGGTGTACATAAGGCGACATCCAAGCAAGTCCACCAATCGACCAGATGTCGATTCTCATAATCTTGACTAATTTTAATCTAAATCTTATTATTTTCAATAAATATGAAGATTGCGAAGAACAAAACGTGGGGTTGGGTATTTATTTGGAGAGCTTAAAAATGGCTAAGGCGATTAGCCTCAATTTTAAAGTAAAGGACAATTTAGAAGTGTCGATTTGTCAGCCAAAAGAATTCAACGATGAAGAAATGGAAGCATTATTAGACCAGTATTAATTTCAAACGTAAAAAGATCTTTTAAAATCCATGGAAATGTCTCATTCAGCAGGATTCATACAAAATCTAGGAAACTGGGTGAAAACACGTCACTGTGGAAATGATGGTAAAAGCCGTTTTGAATCGTTTTGTTAGGACAAATCATAGCATTATAAATCACATGCTAAGCACGTGCTCTGTACATTTTGTTAATGAAAAAGAGATATATTTTTGCTGACAAATTTGTCGATTGTCCCATTAAAAAAATATCTTTTTGGCGACCTACCATGCTCAGTAGCGGATCTAGGGGCGCTAAATCGAGTCCGACTAGCAATATATGTTTCGAGAATTCATATTTTCCCGCGGCGCTGAGCATGTAACGCTCCCTATAGAATACAAGTGTAAGTGATTAACTAATAATTGCCTAAAATTTAAAAATTAAAAATTCAAAATTAGTTTAAAAGCGGCATTGCTTAATGGAACTACAGAAAATGCTAGCATAAAATTTAAAATATTCTTTTGACGTTAAAAAAACAAACTAAAGTGAAATGCTACCCTGCGCTTTATGGCTCACGTTGACTTTTTGCAAGAGTAGCCACATTGATTTTTTTTTTAATTGTTAAGAAAGCTATGTTTTTTTAGGGGTACATACAATATTTCGAAAAAAAAGTAAATGTTTTTTTTTCGACAAGCATTTTTGGGCGTTCTTAACTAAATTACAAATTGTAAACATCAAAGCAAATTTAGTCGTTATGAACAGGTGAAAACGACAAAAGAGGTGATCAAACAGGTGAACTGAGCATGCTCCAGTTGCTAAAACCGCATTTCCACACAATGGGGATATTTAATTACCAGAAATACATATATTCAAGTGTGTTTTATGCATTGCGCTTATAATTTATTTAAAAAATATGAAAGTTTTTATTAATGTGTAATACTTATTTGACTATTTTCCGAATCTCAAAATTATATTGAAACCAGAAAGGAATTAAACTTCGGCAAGCCGAAGTTCATATTCCCTTGCAGCTATTGCAAAAATTAAATATTCGTGAAAACATTAAAATTATGATTTACTTGCGTATAAGTATGTTTAAAAACATTGAAGCTATGATGATTTGCAGCTCAAATATTTGATAGTTCCTATGGCAGCTATATGATATCGTTTTCCGATTTTAATAAAATTAGAAGCGTAATTCTGAACTGTCAAATTAATAACAAGTCAAAAAGAATTTCTAAAAAAAATACAAAATAAAAAGGTTAAATTTTTTTAAATTTAATTTTTTTTGTTTCCATGGGAGTTATATGATATAGTCGTCCGATTTTGATGAAATTTAAACCGTATTTCGGAAAATTTACCGATTACTATATGGCGAAGAACTAAAAAAAAATAAGAAACAGCGAAGTTTTTGTAATTTTTGTTTGCTACATGCCATAGTCTGATCCGGATCGTTCCGAAAACTTTTGGGAAAGTTTCATGCAGATAGCTTTAAAACTGAGATACTAGTTTGCGTAGAAACGGAAGGACCGACAGACGGACTTGGCTATATCGACTCTTCTAGTGATGCTGATCGGAGATGTCTCCTTCACTGAGTTGCAAACTTCTGAAATAATAATACCCTCTGCAAGGGTGTAAAAATTGGAGCTATGATAAATATTGACAAAAAATGGAATATAATGGGAAGAAAGAAAAGTTTGGGATCAAAATATCATGAGCACGCCGACGAGAAAATTTCCTTCAACATGAAAGTGAATTGTTTAGGATCTTAAAGTCCTACCCGTTAATAGATAAAAATGTAAGCAGTATATAGCTATGCCTATGCCTCATTAGTTTAAGATTTCGTTGATAATGAAATCGTACTATAAATAATGAATGCTTAACGAAAATATTACGGTAGAATTGTTAGGAATACAAAAAATACGATTTTTTAATCATTGAAAACGTACCATGATTCCTCTCCAGCTGGATGGTTTCCATTTCGAAAATGGTGTCGGAAAAGATTATCTTAGCCCTGGATATGCAAATTCATGCGCGACAAGCCCTAACGAATATATGTACTTCGCGAAATGAAAGAGACCATTATCGTTCGATTCTTGGCTCTGCACAGCATTAGCAATTTTTTCGGCTGACTCCACCAAAGATTTTGCCACGGTATCTTCTTTTAAAAATTTGTGGCTATCATAACTATAATAAGATTTTAAGTTGTTCCATTTACGCCTTCAATCACCTATAAGCTTAGTGGTATATTATATTCATATATAATTAGTTATATATCAAACATGACCTACATGACTGGACGGGAATTGGTTGCATGGGTCTTCAATGGTGCCAGATGGAATCACATCCGTGAACTTTTTCTATTTGAAAATCACACATTAATCGGAAAACAAATTTTTTGGCATGTTCATTTTGATTTGTTTACGTTTTTAACTCAATGTGACCGTACGTTTAAAAAAAAAAATCTCAAGCAATCGTCATATATAGTCGACTCCTTATAGGCTCCAATGAAACCGTCAATGAATAAGTTGAACAATGCAATGTCATACCCGCATAAGGAAGTTAAGCCTAATAAAATAATAATGAATAATAAAAACGGAATTACACACAAAGCTTATATTAAGGTTTAATAAATGGCTCTGTGAAACAAATTTCTAAAGCAATAAGTTCCCAAAAAAATAAAGGAACTGAACCTTGTTAAATTTCTTTAAGTAGATATATTATACATATTTTTTTTAGAGCGGACAGAAATGATTCTTAAATAATTTGTTTATTTTTGAAAGTGCTAATTTAAAATCTGAAAATTCAAATTTTATTCAACTCAAACAAACGAGTCTAATTTAAACGTTGATGTACTATGGTCTGTACGAACAAGTGGTCCTTACGACACCAAGCAATGCTTGTTACGCATGGACCCCAAAGGGTTGTTCAAAACGAGATCGCGAGAGGTGAAAGAAGACGGACAAGAAAAGGAACGGACGGACAAGTTCAAAATACATACGAAACAAAATACTACATACATAATTTCGTGCTACGTAAGATAAGATTAGAGCTTTCTAAATTGGTAAAGAGTCGGTAGTAGAAATAATGTGATAGAGTTTGTTCTAGTGATTACATAGTACTCTAAAAGGCTCATGCATATCATAGTTTGAACGACAATGGCTTAAGAATAGAGGAATATAGCTCCTAGTAATTCTATTAGGCACAGAAAAATGTAGGCGACACAGTAACTCGGGACTCGGAATAAAAGTAATACAAAGCATATTTCTACGATTAGCTAAAGTTAGTAAACTAATTAGAAGAAGTCTACTAGGGTACGATGGTAGGATAAGGTCTGCATCCCACTTAAGGCCTCGTAGAGCAAATAGTAAAAAGTTCTTTTGCATAGATTCTATCCGGTTAATATGTACACTATATTGGGAACTTCAAACTGGTGAGCAATACTCCAGAATTGGACGAACTAATGAAATCAACAAAGTTTTTGTGACATATGGATCATCAAATTACTTAGACCACCTTTTAATAAATCCAAGCTAATCCTTCATCCAAAATATCAATCAATTTAAGGAATACATCTATAAGGAACCACAATAAACCCATTTATTTTACTTCACTCTAACGGGTAATTCTGATTGGGTTGAAAATGTCATACAAAAATATTATGTAGTCTTATAAAAATATATTATTGAAACAATTCCAAAGCTGAATCTTAAAAAATTAATTTTTGCCTTTTAAGTTTATTTGGAAGGAAATAAACAATGTTTGCCAACCAAATTAATTTTTGGCCCACTGTGCAGAGCACCCGCCATGGCGACAATGCCTTGCTAACTCCATCTCTCTCTTACTTATTTTTTTAAAACAAAATATAAATAAAGACACCATTTTATTTATTTATTATTATTACCGCCATTTGCAATATTTAAGGTAAACTTTATCGTCTAGATGAGCTGTGTCAAAACCATTTTTGCCAACAAAACAAAGTTATTAGCGCACTGTGCAGAACAGCGGTTATTATTATTTACGTTTGCGTCAATGCACAGTGAATGGTTTTGTATGGGAGCCGCGGCCATAAATACTTCTAGAAGGGCTATCGCTTTAAAACTTGCACCACAAATCTAGAAAAATATTATAAATATATAGGACAAGATCGTAGCACTATATCCTATAGCTTTCATAGGAACAATCTTGAAAAGAATTAAAAAATTAAGTAATACATTTTTTATTTAGTTCTTTAAGATTAAATAGAAGTTAAATATATCCGAGAATCGATTTTAATATTATTGAAATCGGACAACTATATCATATAGCTTTCATTGATAAGACACAGAACAGAACGCAATCGTGAAAATTGGAACACCCAAGGAAATAATAAGCTATTTTTTTAAAGAAAAGAATATAAACACAAATCATAACACAAAAATAAGAAAAACGACATTACAAACCAACAAACGGCAACAAACTACAACACACAGCAGAAGCACGTCTTTTTTAAAAATTGAGGTTAGGTTACCTTTTCGTATAATTGCAAGCCGTTCGGCAACTTTCGGCACTTGAATTAAACATTCTTATATTATTAAAATACTTAAGAATATTATACAAAAAGATTTGTTTGTGCCAAAGAATGCCATCACAACTAAAACTCTAACCAAACACAGAAAAGACAAACCAAGAAAGCTCACAATTATGTACTTAATACAATATTTATTTACACAAAACACAACACATACACATACATATACTTTTTGTTGTGAAAAGGAAGTTAATACCTTTATTTATAATGTAAGGCATTTTCATTGCACTAAAACTTGTTTTTAATACGCTTAAAAATGTGCGTATTATTAAAAATATATTAATGTT